CTCAATGCTCCTTCGACGGTACCAACAGCGGCTCGACCCGTCCACATCCGACAGCTGTCCTAATTGCGGCGTCTTTCCGCATGACTGTCAGCATCTTTTTGCCTGCAGTTCCCGGCCAAGCACCCAACTCATCCCCTTGGGCCTTTGACTCAAGCTGATTGACGTCGCGGCTTTTCTCCGGCTTGCAACTACAACGACATTTGATCCAACAAATGCTACGACACACATCATACCCCGTATCAGTAGAGTGACCGGCCGGGATAGTGGCTTGAGCCTGAGCAAGGTCGACGGCCACCAGCACTTTCCTCACGCCCATGTAAAATTGGCTTGACTTATTCCTCATCACTAATCACCCCTGTCTTACAAACGTAGCTGCGTTCGTATTCTTTCCCAAATATTTGAAAGAAAAATCATAGCACCCAAGCTATGTCTCGGGGCGGTTTGTAGTTAGAAATGTAGACTTCGATTTGCGATTTCGAGCCTAGGGTGCCGCACCACTTGGGTTTTGGTCTGAATAGCTGGCGATGGCTAATGAGCCAGAAACGGCGAGTGCATTCTCCCTAGTGTTTGGCGACAAGGTAATCTGCCTAGACTACTACGTGGTTGCTGGCAGGGCTCGAGAGTAAGCTTTTAGGCGAAGCGGGACAAGCGAATTCCGCTAGCGATCGATGAACGTTAATCAATGAGCACGGTCCATTTTCGGGTATTGGGACACAATAACAAAGAAAAGCGGACTCACTCTAAGAGGGCAGCATCCAACTGGTAGAGTATGCCCTTGAGAACGTCCCTGTCGGTGCTATTCGGGGGCCAATGTCGGCGGACAGAAAATAAAAGGACGGTTGGCTCTGAAGGGTCAGCAGAATGAGGCTAAAATGAGGGTAGGGAGGGGGCAGGGATTGTAGGGAAGCTTTTGCTAGTTTACCCTGTACAGAGACAGCGTCAGACAGAGACTTACTAGAACGGTGAACTTTTCTGACAAGAGTTCTCTACGCACGCCTTCGTCGAGTGGGTCAATGTGTTCCAGTTGTTGGGAATAACGCATATGCTGGGGAGCGGGAAACAGAAG